TATTAAAATTGCATAGTTGACATATCGTTATCTAATCTGGAATCTGGAATCCAGTTTTCATAAAAATGAGTGAAGCAGCGGACGATTTTATGCTAATTGATGAACTTGTGATTGTCCTGTACAGTAGGAAAGATGGGCGATCAAGTCCCCAACGCGTTTTTCCCAGATAATTTAGAACTTTTCCTGTGCGGCGATTTTTAACAAACACTCGGCGGCATTAGGTTAAAACAGTGTGATCTCTAACAAACCATTCGGCTTTTCCTGCCATTTTCCAGAGATGTCCATAACATAACATCAAAACGGGGAAACCAATCTAACGTGTACGGCCACATTACCAGAACTGCTCATTTCCCCCGGGAAGTGCTCAAGTTAGTCTGATATACAACAGACTCCTTTGATTACTAAAATTTTCCTTTCACCCGCCGTTTACTAACAAGAAAAAAGAAAAGCAATTGTCAATTTAAAAAAGTTATCACCCATTTCAAGAGTTTGCAGGCGATATCGCTGTGCACCTATAGTCTGCTTCAGAACCATATGGTGGTTAACAAATTGTCAAAAATAAAGGTAAAACGAATTGGCTTGTCCTCCTTTGATATCGCGGAGACCAGCGTTTGATGAACTCGATTTCAATGGGTAGGTCTTGAGCTACTGTGCACTTGGGTCGGATTTCGCTAAAACAACCGCAGATCAAGTTTGCCACTTAAACTGAGTACATTTAATATGCTGCCTCAAAACGCCCTAATATTCTGTCTCCCGATATTCAGTTTCTTTACTGGTTCGTTCTTCCGTTTTCTGCACAGGCGAAGAAACGGAGAAATGCAGGGTTTAGTCAAGAGAATGTTCGTCCTGATAAGTGACATTTTCGGCAAAATTAGAAGAAACCCCTAGACAGAAGAAGATCCCTAGTGTTCCCGGAGAGATCTACGAGATCGAATTTCCTGCCACAAGCTAGTTGCATAATCACATCAGCTGATATTGTTTCACTGTGTAATGTTCGCTAAGACGAAGTTGCTGGTTTGGCAATTCGGAACTACGTAACTTCACCCACAAGTCAGGAAAACGGTAGAAGTGAGTTTAGGTGTTGTTCATGCAGTACGTCATCCTGTTAGAGATGGCAACCATAGACAAAAGTCCGATTTATTCTGATATCAGTTTACTCCCATATATAGCAGACAATTCCGTCAGGGTTAACACGGCTACCGAGGTTTGTAGAATTCTCCACAACCTGCCGCGATTCTTCTTGAATCGCAAGTAGTGTGTTCAGAGACTAAACTTCTTGAAGCATGTTTTTGAAATTTGAAAGGGCCGGAAGCATACCGAAGGATGATGTAGTGGTTTTCGGCTTTTTTAACGAAGCTTGCACGTTGCCTTCGTTTTCAAAGGTGATGTGATGTTGTCTGACCTACGAGGTTCCCACCAGCAACCATTTGAACTTCAAGGTTCTTAGGAACTCACAGAGGCCGCCTCAGTGTTTCATCACTGACGAAATTAGACAAGAATGCAGAGAGTGGGTTTCCTTATCGGAAAACGCTTTTGTAGGGAAGTTGTTAGAGAGCTCACCATACACTCTCACACGCCCACACGCACCGGATTATGCTTATTAAGGAAGTATGCAATGACACAACAGTCCTTGTAGCGATTTCATCGCTCACAGTCGCTAACCAGATCACGAGACTTGTCCTTTTGCTACGCTCACAAACCACGTCACCCAAAGGTGATTCATCTGACACTGAGTGTCTGTACCATTTAGTAAGCGGGGCAACAACTCACGTGCTGACACACCCACGCTCACGCCCACGCAAACGTAGCTATATATGGGAAGACCGAGCACAAACAACACGCACAAACTCGCGCACGCGCTCAGAGAGCAGGATGCCAGCCGCCCTCTACAAGTCCACGGACAATAAAAGAACACGTGTAGCAGCTATACTGTAGAGAAAACACGTTCCAGCCGTCCAGACTTTCACCAAGGGACTTTCACGAACGATAAGTACCTCTTTTGACTTGCTCCACAGTTCGCATGGCATTTATTTCTATGCGTGCTGCTGCAACTCACCAATGTTAACCAAACTAAGAACTGTCAGTAGTGCATATAATTTCCAAATTACACTGTGGCTACCATAATCTGCGCACTAATTTAAGCTCATTCGGGGTTGCATCCATCCGGAATCCAACACACCAGAACTAGTGATGCTTACGAGCCTGGTTCAGTCACGTGGTAATCGGGTTGTTGTCCAATCTCAGACTTTATCAGACAGCAAGCACAATTTGATATTAATTACCCGGTTGAGTAACTGCATCTGCTTCTTGTTCTCCCAGATTTTAGGGGGGTGGGGGGCGCAACTGAATTAGCCAAACTCGGCGTACTTTGGTGCTTGATACGGAACTGCATAATTGCTTTGAGCCAGCATAGTTCTTTCTTTAGGTTGCGGCCCACCTAAATGAGGCTGTCTAACCTATCAGTTCTTTATGTAGCAGACTTTTGTGCCTCACCTCACGCTCCGAGAAAAACATGGTGTTTCAAAAGTACTTCATATCAAAGAAATGTTCTTTCACGTTTACTCTGTGTGTGAACTCGTGCAAGAGGAACCTAAAACCTGCTATTGAGCTTAGTCTTATATAAACTAAGGTAGGTGAGTTTTAGATGAAAAAGATTGCGCCAATACAGTTTTTCATCACGCGGTCCTTGGCTTCGGAAATAGAATCGTCAAATGCCGGCTTTTATTAAAATGACACACAGTTAGGGCAAGGTCTTCAGGCAAATAACTTACCTTGGGTCCTGTGGCCGGTGAGCTTCTCCTTTGCTAGGACCGGCAGAGACGGCGGGTAGCTTTTCATGCTTTCTTTGACTGGAAATTAAGAGGTGTCGTGCAAACATTGGTTTTACCAGTGGACTATGACTTATCCACAGTTTACTGTCCCAGGGTGCGTTTTCGCTTAAGTGGTATGGGCTCGGGATATCTTGGCCTTGCATTAAACGACAAAGGGAACCCTGTGAAGCGTACAGGGAGTTGCCTGATGTATCCGCTAAAACCAATTGAGACCTGATATGCGTGTAAACCATGCTCGGCACGCTGAACGCCTACACACAAAGTTATTGTAGTTTGGGAAGTACCAATTGCATATTCACTCAGCCACTGAGGTAAAAATGCGACAAAACTTGACGCAGGTTGGGTTTTACAATCCATCTACGCACTTTCCTTACTGTGTAAGCCTAAAGTAAGGAAAAAGTCATTTGACAACTTTTAATTTCCTCTTCAATTTGGAGGATATCAAAAGAACAAAGCTGAGATCTGAAAGAACAAAGGCTCCTCAAAACAGAGAAAGTTCTTTAGACCCAAACCCAGACATTTCTATCAAATCTAATCAGTTGACTTTCGGTGAATGATGTACAGAGTAGACTAACTGCCCGATGAGTGAGGATGTTTCATTCCAACCCGGTGGTCACTCTTAAAAGCATTGTTTTTAGGGTAAATGAAAATGAATTATTAATTGGATTTCCATCAGGTATAAAGTCAGTATGATTATTTTATTCGAAACACTTGCAAGAATCAATTGTCCGAGCAGTCAGCAGTAACCAGAAGGCTGAACGAGTAGTTTCCAGTAGGACCTACTTCCAGGGACCCTTTTGAACTAACAAAGGACTTTCCCATGCGTAGTATACGGTGTCTGTCAGTTTGGTTGGTTCATATGTAAGTATTGGTGATGTACAACCGTGCTTACTTGGGTTTGGCTCACGAGCTTTGTTTCTGTTTTCCATCCACAGAAATTGTCGTGAACACCTGCCTCAAGGAGAATCACTGTCCCCTGGTGCTTCCATTGCATGCATACTACATATGAAATTCATGTAATTTTCAAGGTCATCTTAGTAGTTCAGACTAAGCCACTGAACTTACTTCCAGAAAAGCGAAAACCTTTCCTTATTGTCTGAAAGGTGTCTACTTTTTCCTTGATTCCACTCCGTGACTTCGATGAACCGTGGGCCCAGTTCACTGATGGACTGATGACAGTGTTGTATTTCAACAACAGTTTTTGCCAACCGACCAATGGTCACAGTTTGGTCCTATCTGTCCTATTTTAGAGCTGACAAATTAATGCTTGCTTGTGTCCCACCAGGAACGCAAATGAACCGCAATACCTCGGTAGTTTTTTCTCATGAAAATATACTGCAATGTCTGGTACAGAGAGTATCTGCAATGTGATAAAGCAATTCGACGAACAGGAATTCGTCGAAACAAAGAGCGGCCATCTTATTGGTAGGTGTAATCACCAAAGATTGAGGGGAATCTGGCAAGTGGTGTGTCCTTTCTGTAGATGAAAAGAACATAGTTGGCTGGCGAATTAAACTCATATGCAAACCAATTTGGTTTTGCTGGAAAATCCCTTGGAACCCAGCTGAATCTCACATTTATGATGTTTTTAAGCCTACCTGATAAGTTTCAAGAAGGGAGAAACCGGTCGTGAACTGTCGAAGAGTTTTCAGCAACCTTACGCCTATACAACTCGAATATCGTGCCAAACGAAACATAACCTGTCGAAGAGTTTTCAGTAACCTTATGATAGGTTTTACGCCTATACAGCTCGAATATCGTGCCAAATGCAACATAAGGCCTGGTGCAGCACACTCAGTTTCTTAAAAACAGCATGAACCAAAGATCCTGTTGGGTTCCGTGTGAGACTCCCGTGAAAGCCAAATTGGTTTACAAATGAGTGTAGTTCGTCAATTTCGTACAATTTGGGTTCAAGTAGAACATAAGGTTGATGGAGAGTCGGGGACTGCGCCTACTTGATGATCCTCAAGAAGAGCGAGACCGGTCGTGTCGAAACGTTTTCAGTAACCTTATGAGTAGTGCAGTAAGTTCAAACATAGTTGGCTCTTCAGTTTGCGAAACCGCAAATCAACCGAAAGTGAGTTGCTATCACGTATGTAATAAGTTCTTGAGAAGTTGTAAAAGTGCATCTTCTCCAGGATTCTGGGACGAGTGTACTAGGTGGCCATGAATGCGGAAACCAAAATACAGACATCTACAAACGAATCTTACGTGATCATGTCAGAAATGCTACACTTTCCTCCAGACTTCCTCAGATGAGCTTGGTGGCTTTGGGGAGCCTAAAGTTTGGCTTGATTGACTGGCTTATTTAACTCAACTGATACAATTGCATCCATAGGCAACGTTCGTATGGTTATTGTAGTTGTGAATTAAGTAGGTTTCCGGAAACGATGGCCTCAAGTAATTTAGTTGAACTTTTAACCTGATGCTCTACACAATACTGGATGGAATAAGGCTAACTTCTCGAAGCAAAAGGACGAAAGATACCCTCGGAGGGAAAGCAGCTGTGCGAAATATTTGACAATGAAACGGTCTTAATGTCATCGATTCAAAGCGTGCGCTAATTTATTCCCGATAGAAAAATAAAAAAAAACCCATCTTTACATTTGGTCACATCAAGCGAGTGCAGAATTAATAAATTGCCATATTCACAAACTCGGATGTATGGAAAGACCACTCAAGATCCTTTACCTGGGAGCATTTTAGTTCTAAAGTTATTTTATCCAGTGAAAGATTTTTACTCTATATTTTAGTGTAATACAACGAAAACGATACCCATAATGCGGATGGCTATTAGGTTGCCGTGAGTAGCAAAACATTGGTGGCTAATCTGAGTGATGAGCAGAGGTATTGATGATGAAGGCATTAGGATGAATGCTTTCTCGGTCTCGCAGAGCACCACTACGCCAGACCTACCATTGCAACCTCCGTAGTGAGGACACAGAGCCACCGAGTGAAAGGTTGGTGGTTCTACCCCAGGTCTGACTTCTTGTTCACTCTTACGTAGGTCCCGTCGCCCTGACACCTGACTGAGATCCTCCCGTTACCCCTGGGTAGCGCAGTAGCTATTTACGAAGCAAGTGCTACAGCTTAAAGTGATATTTCTTCTCTTACGCAACTCCAACCTTAAATATTGTAACTGAGAAGGGACTACATGCAGTTCCGTACATGTTTTTACGTTACGTCACTTTGTTGTGAAATACAAAGGTCACTTTCGGTGGCTGACAATGACTGGACCTACGGTGTTAAATGTAGTATACTGGTGGTACTGATCAATAATTTTCTCTCGTTGGTTTGGATCTATACACAGAAAAGATGTGACGCTTTACTACAAGCGCAGACTGTTAATTCTGCCTATCTACGCCTAATTGAATGCTCATAAACCAAGTCAATTCCTCCAGATAAATTTTTATGAGGTCCAACATCCTTTTATGCGAAACTTGACAAATCAGCCCCTCCCCAAGAAAGCTCCTAATACGGAATGTGACCGTTTCGTCCATACCGACAAAACGCTTTTATAATCAACCACTCTCTCTCTCTCACTAGCACCGCAGAAGCGGTGATGAAACCATGGAAAATTTAATACGTTTGTCAGAGAATGTCGATGACCCATTTTGAGCTTTTCAAAAGTGATCCAATGGCGTTGACTCCGTCGGTTCAGATACTTTTCCAACAGAAGTGGATAAGATGTTGTTCAGACTCTGCTTGTTGTCAAGGCGCTGCTCGAAGTATAACTTCTGTGCGAGCAAATACTTTTAAATCTGGTCCCTCAGAATATAATAGAGAGATGACGCCGTATTCACACTTCTGTGCTCGATGCGACCCAGGTCTAAGTCGATTCAGAATTTTTTCTTTAGGTAGGCCTCGAATCTGAAGTAGGCGTCTTTCAGAAAATCTCGCGTAGTTTCTTATTGGCCAGTCAGGTTATTAAAGACTCCACTCAGATGATACGTTTTTAATGTGTGAATTAAATGGTCACACAAAGGGTTCAGTGTCAACCGGAGGTCATATTACTTGGTTTGTGTGGGGTGAACAACTGATATGTTGTAAAATCGACATGTTAAGAGCCTGGTGATCCATTAAGAAGGGAGTTTTACTACAAAACAGAAGCAAACATTTTTCAGATGGCTACAGGAAAGATGCCCATTGGGCCTCGGACTGGAGGTAAGAAAATCATCTACCTGGCGCCTGAAACGAATACGTTCTGTTTGGCATCAAAGTGACATTTATGAAAAATGCTGTAGGATGCGCACGCAATTTTGCTAACGTAATGTGCTCATTTAAAGAATATAGCCCAATACCATCGTTTTCGAAGGATAGAAATGCTGTCTTGGCAATCTCACAGTGCGAACACCTAGTCGGCAAATATGTTCTTACATTTGGAAGTAATTAGCGCTCAGAACAAGAAACTAGCTAGCCGAACGATAAACTCGATGCCTGTCTCGATGTCTTTAAAAGTCAGTAACATCCAATAATGCACAACTTTGATTTCTTTTAAATCGAGGGTCCTTGTTCAATGCAGCTAGGCCCGTACTGGGCCAAGGTTGTGTCAATTAGGCGAGTAAAATCTATTCTGCTGATCAAAGTTCAACGTCTCATCATCATCATCATCACATTTATCCCCATCACGAACAAAAAATCGCCATCATCATCATCATCAGAGACAGTAATATCAACGTTGGCACTGATGCTTCATTGTCATACAATCATAATGTTTATTTATTAATACATAAAACCCTAAGGTGAGAAGCGCATAAGGGGTGGGTGTTGAAGAGAACTGATGCTGACCCAGTGAATAAATTCTGAAATGTCTACATTTTCAAACGCTCAGTCGGACAATCTGGAAACTGGCAGCACAAACGCCACTGATATCGATCATTTGCCTTTTTTTGCAGTGTCTCCAACCCAGCGGGGAAAAGTCATGGGGACCGTATCCTGGACGGTGTATAGCATCAAAGACAAACAAACTCTTCGTAATCTCTTTTACACAATTCTGGCAAGTCACGCGCTATCCATCTTGCGGGTTCCGTCAATTTCCGGAAGGCGAGAAGAACAAATGACCTTGGTAGACCATGTTCCGATATGAGCAGCACATGGATGAATCACTGTAGTTGATGTTTCGGAACCTCATTGTGTGACTTGTTCAATTCTACTGAAAGGATTCTGGTGCACCAAGTACGTTCCTTGTCGTTTTACGGTCCCCGGCCGCTAGTTTATTCGTCTCCAAGTCTTGACACTAATTAAAATACATAGTTTGGGATATTGTGTTATGTCCTGTGTATTATTATGTTGTGTTAATTTTCTCGATGTAGCAGATGTAGTATATTTTTCGACTGTTGTCCTAACAAACCGGTAGGCTGATTGATTTCCACGTCGAATCAATTTATGTACACGGCATTTGGGACCCCGGAACAAGCGAGAACAGTTGGAGATTTTTCCTAATTTTTCCAGTGGTGGATTTTATTGGAGAATCTCGTAAACATCGACATCAGAAAGATTACAAATCGCATGCTTTTTTGAATAAAACCATTTATTCCCAATTATTGTGTACTTAGACGGTTATTCTATAGAGTTCTCCGCTAGCTATCGCGGATTCACACAAAAAGGGTCGAAAAATTTAGCTTAGGGAAACACCGAAGGAATTTGGAGCATTCGATGGTTTCAGCTAAATGGACCTGTTAAATAAAGCCTTTGAAAATGATCATCAGTGTCAACACCAGTAACGGCGAGACCGCATGAGAACGCTGATGCTTCACTGCTTGTGACTATGTCAATTTATCTGAATAATGGAAACAAACTGGATAGAGTGGGGGACCTATGACAAGTCAACTACAAAGACATCTCAGGTGCCTACATTTTCAAAACCCACGCAGACGTTATGGAACACCTGTCTGCGGTTAGTTTTCTCAATTCAGTTACCCAAATAGTCACGTGTAGGTTCTGATAGACAACTTGAAGCCTTTCATACGTGATTGGTGTGATTTCATTGACCAAAGAGAAACCACCATTGATAAATCATGGTCAGTTGTACCAGTGCTGGTGCGTTTGACGACGTCCAGGGAGTTAAAAGTGAGTCTTCTGATTGAAACATTCTTTTCTGCTTCTGCAAGCTGTCTGTTGAAGAGGTTCGTGGGTGATCTCCACTTCGCGGTTACAAACTAGCCAAGCGAGTTCGTTTTGAAATAAGTTTTCTATTTTGGCGGCAGACCTGGCTGTTTGCTCTATTGCAGTGCTGAGTTGTTGTAGTGATAGAAAAAAGGCCTCTGATGCGGAGTAATTCATTCGAAAACACTAACTTAACAGTTACAGATTGTTGGCCATGGAACCAAAACTCTCATATGTATCTTGTTTATAAAAACTGAATATCCGACTTCCTCTTCCTGAACTTTTCTGGATTCTCATTGACTATCAGTCAAATGTAAACGAATGCTACTAAGCAACTCCACAAATTCCGTAATAAACCTCACTTTTCAATAGACGTGAGGCGGATTTATGAGAAAACCACATACTACTCGCATGCTTCATCAGTAGTCTCCACCGTTACAGCAGTAGTTCTGGGCCCAATATCCTCCGGCAGGGTGCTTTATGCTCACTGACTATTTTTTCGTACATTCTAGTGCGATTATGTGCATTTGTAATCATTGACCGGAACATCCGTCTAACATGCAGTCTGACCGACCTTCAAGCTTGTGGATGATTCAGTGGAGGTCGATAGGTTACACTACGTGGAAGGATGCACTTCCGCAGACATTCATGAAGGAAGTGTTGCTGTTGTTGTGTGATACCTAATGGCAAGCAAAAGCCTCCCATCGAGGGGCTGTTTGGAGCGTGCAACGTCCGAATTTGTTGTCGATTTGTCGAAATATAGGCGGCTCAAGTGCATTTACAGGTGGTTGATCAGATGGTAGTTGATCTGTCCGCCGAGCTTGGCAATTGGTTTGCAAACTTTTCGTTCCCAGTCGAGGAGACATTGTCAGTGCGCCGTTGATATCCATCGATTTTATGCCTACATGATCTTGGTCATCATGCTGAACAATCTTCAATCACTTCGAGCGGCTTGTTTCATCACATGTATTCCGTCAGTTCTTTCGCTAACCCATTCGCTAATGAACTATAACCGCCATAATTTGCACGAGAAATGGTGCTCGAACTAAATTCAAATCATCGCAAACTTTATCATCATCATCATCATCATCTTCATCATCATCATCATCATCATTCATCATCATCATCATCATCATCGTCATCATCATCATCATCATCATCGTCATCATCATCATCATCATCATCGTCATCATCATCATCATCATCATCGTCATCATCATCATCATCATCATCGTCATCATCATCATCATCATCATCGTCATCATCATCATCATCATCATCGTCATCATCATCATCATCATCATCGTCATCATCATCATCATCATCATCGTCATCATCATCATCATCATCATCGTCATCATCATCATCATCATCATCGTCATCATCATCATCATCATCATCGTCATCATCATCATCATCATCATCGTCATCATCATCATCATCATCATCGTCATCATCATCATCATCATCATCGTCATCATCATCATCATCATCATCGTCATCATCATCATCATCATCATCGTCATCATCATCATCATCATCATCGTCATCATCATCATCATCATCATCGTCATCATCATCATCATCATCATCGTCATCATCATCATCATCATCATCGTCATCATCATCATCATCATCATCGTCATCATCATCATCATCATCATCGTCATCATCATCATCATCATCATCGTCATCATCATCATCATCATCATCGTCATCATCATCATCATCATCATCGTCATCATCATCATCATCATCATCGTCATCATCATCATCATCATCATCGTCATCATCATCATCATCATCATCGTCATCATCATCATCATCATCATCGTCATCATCATCATCATCATCATCGTCATCATCATCATCATCATCATCATCATCATCATCATCCTCATCATCATCAGCTGTAAGGACCGTCTTTTTGCTGTACGGTGGTTATTATTGCCTTAGGTCCGTTCATTGGTGATTTGGCAGATGGGCTAAGCAGCGGCCCATTGGAGGTGGTGGCCGAAACTGCTGATGCATAGCTACATGTTTGTCAGTAGATTGTTAAGGGTCAGCGGCGTCACCTGTACTCGTAATAAATATTAAAAGTGCTCAGTTTCCTGCAATAGATGACCCAGAACCACTGCCGATTTTAAAAAACCATGATCCTACTAATCCTGATGTATAAGGGGAGAAAGTGGCAAGGAAGTTCTCCTCGACGAATGAGCTGTGCACATCCCACAGGGTTGTCCAGTTAGATTGCATATCAGCACGCTGTTTACCTGAAAGAGTTCTTTTCATTCATTCATATGCTGGAAGGGAAACGATCTTCTCACTGGCTCATTATCATCATCTTCAACATCATGGACAACGAAGGGGGCGCTAAACCTAGAGCGACAAAGTGCGTGCATGAAAAACGTTCGTCCATCTGCATGATGTAGTCTCGTTTTTGCGTTTTAAATAACTTGAATTTGTATACCCGATACTAACTGGTGCGCGCAAGAGGTGTAAGAGATAGGTGGAAACACCCAGCCGAATAGGTCACAATGATGACTAAATTTGCCTAAATTTTGTGGCTTTGAGAGAGCTCGTACTGTTAGTTTGCATTCAGATTCTCTGAATGTTTCGCAGTGGAAGTGTAACGGTGATGCTACTGATGGGGAGGCATGTGAATAGTATTTGGTGTTCTCATAAATCCGATTTGCGCCTCTTGAAAAGTGAGATCTATTGCGGAATCTGTGGAGTTGCTTTGTAGCATTTGCTTGGAGTTGAGCAACAGTCAATGAATACCCAAGAAAGTTCAGGAAGACGCTTTCAAAGAGAAGATGGATATTCAGTTTTTGTAAACAGGATGCGAATGAGATTTTTGCTTCTCTGTCTAACAGTCTGTAACTGCTCAGTTGGCATTTTCCAATAAACAACTCCGCAGCGAGGGCCTTCATCCTTTCCCAAGTAGCTTGAAACCTCTATGACAAAACTGACTTGAGGCCTCTACTTTCACAGCACTTTGAACTACATATATTATTCATAGATGAAGTTTCCTCGTCAGGGTTGAAATGTCCAGAAACACTGTATAGCTGTCTCATTCTTACTGAGAGCCCCATTCATCTCAAGGAACTCAGATAGTTTTAAACCCGCTACCTCTTGCTCAGAGGATAAACGCATAAACGTTAGGCCTCAATCGGCTAAACTGCAGAGTGACTAGCGCTCAGTTGGACGGGATATAGAGCTGCTCATCTCTCAGTCATAGAAGCCACATCACGTGGACTTGCGTTTGTTGGGTCCTCAAGTGACGACTGCTCAAAAGAAAGTTTCACTCACTGGATGAGTTTTATTCTTCCTCCGAGTTACTTACAAATTGATGGTAGCTTGAGGAGATGTGGTAATTTTTATTGAGATTTGGTCGTGTTAGGAGTTGAATGATCGGATTAGTGTAAAAAGTACAAATATCGTAGTGATTCCCCGTTGGACAAATCTGAACATGAAAGTTCTCGTACAAGGGGCAGGTAAACTCGACTTAACACAACTCAAATGATGGGAACCTACCCGTCCGAAGATTTATCAGATGCATCAGATTCACCCTCATCACTACTCTCCACGGCAGGAGCTGGCCAGAAGTCAAAATAGGAAAAGTGCTTCCCACTTATCACTTTGCCAAAGTGTTGAAGAATTGCCGCCTCACGTCGCCACTGGCGGTGTTGCTTGCTGGTTGGTGACATGAATGATCTGGCCAAGGGTGAACGGCATCCCTGTTGAATAAGACGTTCAAATTGACCAATGGCCGCTCGTTGCATTCTGCAGAGTTTGTCTCCAGCCAGATCGGTCCAAAGATTTCTAAGTGCAATTGTGGCCGACACTGATTTACTGTCAAGCAGTGATTGGCAGGTGTTGGAAGATATCTTCTCCTCATCTTCAGAAGTTATGCCATACTTATGAAGTAAAGTGACAAGCCGGTAGTGTCTTGATCGCAAAACTGGAAGCTGGAATTCCAGGCTGGAGTCATTAATATTTGAGGTTCTAGAGCGTGGAAAGATTTGAACAGTGTTAATCATAATGAGCAGTGGAGTCAGGAGCGCAATTTTTTATAAAGAATATTCACGGGAATACTTGCCATATGCCATATTTCAGGTTTAACATTGCATCTTGTATCATACCTATCCCGTCCAAACGTCAAAATGCTCCATAAGGGACTTTTAGGAAACAAGTAAAGTCAGTTTGCTGGGCACCTCTGTTACATATTAGGCATGATTCTTCGAACCACTTTGCAGGTGCACCATGATTTTGTGGTGACTCCATTGAAAGTTCCAATCACAAGTTTGTGTATCTGACTGCCTTCAAGAAGCAACAAATACGGGAGGCCTTGTGTCAGCGCTTTAGACTCGATCTCCAACTTATTTCAACGAGCCAAGCAGGAAAGTTTGGAAAGATAGAAAAATTGAACCTTGACTTGATAAAAGGTCATGAAATTCAAATTGGGATCACTTAAAACAACACAAATTCCGTTGGGCAAGTGCTCCTTTGCTCGCTTTTCTAGCACGACTCATCGTAACTTTGGGTGAATTGTGGCCAAACGCGATGACCAGTTGATAAAACCGAGAGTGGCGTTCTTATTGGCGGCGCCATAGTATACACCCTAGCGTTCAGTCTTGTTCCTGTACACGTATGATCTTAGACCCTGTTTATAGTTTGTTTAAGTTGACTAAATGCATACTCAATGGCGTAGAACGCTTCTAGGTAAACGTTTCTTTCGGTACAGCGATTACTCCTCCTCTTCTCGGTATGAAGTGACTACTGGAAATTCGCCAATAGCCTATGATCAGTTTTACCCTTTCTGCGGCCCATCCGGTTAGTCTAAGCCACTGAATGTTCACTTCTGGGTTCATGTGTACGATGAAAATGCTGTGATCAAACGGAAGTTGAATGAATAACTTTGCATCGGAACGTTGAGGCAGCTCATGTGGTGCAGATCAGGAGATCTCTAGGAGATAGGAAACTGTTTCAAAGAAAAAGTGTTTTTCTGAGGTAACGAAACAAATTTGCCAAAACAGGAGAACCGCGTTGTCAAATGTTGAATCACAGTTGGTTGATCTTCGTGGGCATGTAATGTTGCGAACAA